CAGGAGATGAAAGTGAGTAAAACTGACTTGGTCTGCCTGCTTCTCACACAACTGGCGTATAAAACTTTCAGGACACAGGCAATAGAAAAGTTACAAAAGCATAACCACAAATGAGTTGCACTCACATTTGTTTACTACTCCACGCAAATCTAAAAACTAGATTTAATATACAGTAAGGCAAGCAGAACCAGTTCCAAAGTGAGATAAGCAGAGCAATATTTAAAGAACCAAGATTATACAGGACGCCATTACATCAGTATGTAGTTCCAATCAGTCAAAAAGTGAATGAATGGAGAGGGAAGGACCCATACTTTTGCCTCTGTGACAGCGCAACCCCTCCACACAATAATTCCTCCTCTGGGACTATCCGTCAAGTTAAGTCTTACCCTGGAGGCAGGGGAAAGGGATAAAAATGAGGTAAAAAAAGCAGGAAACAGGCAATGTAGTCGATAATGCTTGGGCACACACGTGCCACAGATGTTGTCAGAGTCTCAGATGGAGGACAGTGCTATTTTCTCACTTAACCTTCTATTTGAAGCATCAGATAGTTACATTTCCAACAATTCCTGCTTCTCTGTCTGGCTCCTCTCACATAAAGAGAAAGGTTGTGTACATGGTACGAAGAGGTGACTAATTGTACCTTTCAGAACACAAAATTTGGAGACCTCCAACAATTGGTTATGGGGATCAAAATTTATTCTAAGGTAGGAAAAATGCTAATATGTGTGTACTCACAGATACTTTCCAAGATCTGCATTAGTCCCTTTGCCTTCCTGTTCTCCCCATTCCCTGATTACTGAGCAGGCAGCTGTTCCACTGATGGCAGTCTGACCGACAATAACTGCTTGCAAGAAGGCTACACTGGTGCTGGGAGGGAGGCAGGCAATTTAGTTGAACAGATGAGATACAAAACTGCAAAAACGGTCTCCTGAAATCAGACACTAAAATGTCATGTGTACCTGTGATCAGGCAAAAAAAAAAAGATGATTAGCCAAATTATAATAAGAGGCTTTTAAAAATAGCACATTAATGCTATTTCTCATGTCAGAAGACAAATTTTATTGCAATTCAGCAAATGAGCTACACCTGTAAAACTGTTTTATATATCCAATTCACATTTAATGTCCAGTGGATTGAAATGTCACAGGAAAAAAAAACAAAAACAAAAATAGCACCTGTTTTTGTCATTATAATGTAAACTTCAACAGCCATCCTTAAAAAAACCAAACCAGTGATTTCCCCACATAGTAAAATATATAGTTTATAAGGTATTGATGCTTTATCTTAGTTTAACAGTCGAACTCTAGGTATAAAATAAAGAACTACAAAGATGTGAAGTACATGTAAAATACCTTCAAGTATTTTCAAGTATCCTATAGTATCTTGCACTATGGACAAAAATCATTTGACAATATACAGAAAAAGTTAACTCTGAATAGTTTAACTGCAGAAACTTTAACATATTCATGAACTCAAAACACATCAAAAATATGGAACATCCAGCTAGTAGGTCCCATCTGAACCAATTTGAAAAATACTCTTCATTATGGAAAAAGTTGTGGAATAGTCTTCAGTCCATGAATATGTTTTCAGCTACAGAATGTCAGATGGTTAAGTTTATGGCAGGTAAAAGCTATTTTTTTGTAAAAATTTATCATCATAGTATTTCATTACATTTAAAACAAGTCTTGATTAATTTGCATTTTCTTTTTGTATAAAGTATCATGTAACAACTCTAACAGTATTAATCAAAGAAGCATAAATAATTGATAGGTGATAGCCTGTTTGGTTTTTTTTTCTTCAAATCAGGTATAAGCCTGTAAAGACATTTGGGCAATTTAGCACCATGTACTTACTGCATTATGAACTACTTACTTTTTATCATACTCCTCTCTACAGAATGCATGTCTGCTGTTAAAAAAAAAAAAAAAAATCTTTTCCCATTAACTGTTACAAAAAAACCCCAAACCCAACCAACAAAACAGCACAGCCACATTAACCTGCACTTACCAAACCTGCTCCCTTATTTTAGAAAAGTAATAGGGAAAAAAAAGGTTATAACTGCATTATTCTATAGCTCATTTCTGAACAAAAAAAATGCAATACAAGTTTTAAAAAGGGAGATGGATTTTACAAAGCTCTGGTTACAGAGTAAAAGATACTGACTACATCATTTGTTCTTATACAGTCAATCCAATTCAGCAGAATAGCATGGAAGGAGCAAATGCTGGATCCTAACATTATTCTGTGGGACTGATGCTAGCTACATCAATGAAGGAAGTAGGCTGGTTTGTGGTAAACACTGGAGAGTGGCAGGGATTATGGGTGCTGCTACAGACTGAATTGTTCTTGAAATAAACCAGTCAAATCTCTTCCCAAAACCCTAGTACAAGCTATCACAGAGCCACATTTAGTAACCCAGTCTTCCTTGGTGGCCTCTGAATCAAAAAAATCAACATTTTTTTCTGCTGCATTTCAGAACCTTCTGCTCTTCAGTAGAGCAAATCCTTCCAATCTCAGAAGTCCATATCAAAAAGTGCTTTGAATCCTAATGGGATTAAGCATAGTCCCCCCTCCCCTGTGAGAGAAGCAGGAGGAGTCTATCAAGGTGGTCTTTCCTGTGAAAATAACGTAACTGAGGAGCTGGGAAGATGACTTCTGAATCTTCCTTTTGCATCTGGACAGCTAGCACAACAGGGTGCTGTCACTGATGGCCAGCTTCATCCTCAAGTGCTAGCCAAAGAACCCACCACTTGGGAACCAGGAAACCCCAGCCTGTGTACCCCAGGTATCACTGTCCTAATGAGGCCAGAAAGATCCACATCAAAGCAAGACATTAAACCAACATACCACACTAGGTGAACTTGGGTAAAGAAAAGAAAAACAAACAAACAAACAAAAAAACCCACCTTAATTCAGGGTTAATTACCTCATACAAGATAAAATTAATCTATACTTAATACTATGAGATATGGTCTTAACAGGATCAACTCATCTACTAATGTCAATATAATTAATCCATCCCTTCTTTCTTACAGACATACTCCCTGTGAAATACACAGGCTGAGTAAAGTCATCTTAAATATAGCTGAAAGCACTGCAAATTTTTTTTTTACTGTTATTAATACATAAATAAGCAATGTGGGGCAAGCATATAAAGATTATCCCAACATAGTAAGGTGAATACATGAAATTCTTCGAATAAAGTACATCTGTTTTATTTTTGCCCTTCCAAAGACAGAAAAAAACCCCAACAAAACCAAACCTGCACTTACGAAATACTTCTGTGAAATGCTCCTGTATTTAACTCCAGACTATGAAAGAATTCACACCCACCCAGCACGAGGAGTGGCTTGGACATTGCCCTTACATCTTCCTTATGCTACTGTGAAATCAAAAAAGAATCTCACTCTGATAAGTAGTGACAAAGGAACTTCTCAGTTTAATAATGAAATAAATAGGACAAAAGTAAAAATAGTCAAAAATTTAATACATGTGCTATACTTATAAATTATTGAAATAAAACTATCACAAGATGTGACTAAGATGTAGGTAAAGAAAAGGTGCTACAACATTGTATGAACCGAAAACCCTGGACTCTGCTTCTCAAGAGAGACAATACTGAGATAAGTTTATACAGTGGAGACCTCTTAAATACATAGCCCTGAATTTCTGTACAGTAATTTGTGATGCTGATAAATCAGGCTGTTCTTAAGTCACATATTAATTTCAAAGAGATTTTTAGCAGAGGATTCAAACGAACATAGATGCCTTTAGGCATATGATATGTTCCAGAATTCTAATAAATTAAGCTTTTAAAATGTTTTTGTTTTTTTGCAGAAATGGACTAAAGCTTCCTCTGCTAAAAACAAAAGCATCCCAAATGAAGTAGACTGTGACCACAGGAGCAAAGGAAAGAGACCTTACTACTCACAGTCTTTTCAGAAAAATTAAGAAATTCTTATATTTGTTAGTAAGACATACCATTATTATTTGTGGGTGCATAAACATATTTATTTAGTCATCTGGCATTTGAAGAACTCACGTCCCTCTTTATTAGCAGTTAAGAGAATTACCAGCAGCAACCATATACCAAACTTCAAAAGGCTGGTTCACGTGAAAACATTTTTGTGTTATGAACAATTATTCCAGGTTTTTCATTTAAGTGGGCTGCACTGTAAATTCTGAATTGCAACATAATATAGACATTGTATCATAGATGATTTTTTTTTAGACAATTTAGAAAACACGATAGGTTAAATAAATAAAAATTATGTTAAAAAACACGTTTAATTTCTTTTGTGCAATCACGTACCAATATGAAAAATATTACTTTGATCTCTGCACATTTCACGGTTCAGTCTCCTGGATTTCATTGAAAATAATACTGACAACAAAAATAAAGGAAAAAAAAAAGATTTGTTGACAAATCAGTGCTTTGGAGCTATTAAAAAAAAGCACACACCAGATTTGTAGTTCCCTTGTAGCAGAACATGACCCGATACGTTAAAAATCAAACATTGGTAATAATGTTAATATATAAAATATTAGTTTAAAAACTATAGAATGACCTTCTCAGCAGAAATGGAGTGTATACATTGGGGTCAATGACATACAGCATATCTGAAGGCAAGTTCACAGAATGCTGAAAGGCTCACTGCACATTTTCTATGGCAAGGAAATACTGCAGCTTTAAAATAAGCTGCACAATACACATCTCTATCTCTTTCACATGAAAGTGTGTAAAAAGCAAATCAGCAAATAAACTCTAAAATAGATTTATACCAAAATCCTCTTTTTTACATTGAGTTTACAGCTTCCATCCATTTGCCTGTACTATTTTTGGAGTTTCCTTCAAGAAAAGTCAAAGTTGCATTCTAGGGCCATGAACAAGTTCACGATACAACGTACTGGCAGACAGAACTTTTGCATACTAACGAGATTCACTCCTTGTTGCTTTTTTTTTTTTTTAAAGATAGTTTTTCCTGTGGGACAAGAGGTCAAATATCGATTCCTTTGACAAGAGATGCCTCCAGCGTAATGTTGAACTCCTGCAAGGTCTGCAACACTCGAATCAAAGAATTCACAAGAGTGTGATCCTTAATCAGTGCTGTGTCTTCATACATCTGTGCTGTGATCGGGCAGTCTGCGAGCAGGGCGATCCAGTGATGCAAAAGGTGGTCTCTGACAAAGTGGCCATTTGGAAATAAAAATAAAGCAAAGTTAATTTCCCATCTTCACTGACATTTTTATTCTTTGCCTTCTAAACAGACCTACCATCTTCTCTGCTTATTTTTATAAGGTGGGAAAGGGGGAGTTCCTGTCTGTGAACTTGTTTAAGTAGGGAGCATCTGTGAGAGACAGGTTTCTAGGTTTTCCACCCCTCACATCAAAAGATACAGTTCTCAGGAGGCCTGGAAGTCCCAAGCAGGCCCAAAGACACTAGTCAGCTCCACTGCCTTTGTGTCAAGAGTTTTCTAGATGATCCCAGCTTCCTTCCTACCCATCTCCTACAAGGAGTAGGTGGAGGGTGGGGAATTCACCCAGCCATTAACTGGAGCAGCCTCACTAATGGATGGTTTTCCATTTTGATCTTCCAGCCTTGCTAGCTGTACATGAGAGGGAGGCTATTCACACCAGCCTTTCTCTGTTGATTCAGTTGCTCAGCTCTTTGGGATACTCAGTTTTGTATCTCAGATTTCCCACACTCCATGTGCCTAAGAACTCAGTCAGGGCACGGTTCACTTCATCCTTCTTTAGTTACATCAAAGAACTGAATATATAATAGTCAAATTGCACAACCCAGCAGTTGTGTGACTTTATCTTACTAACACGCAACATCCTTTTCATTTTATTAAAATATAAATCATAATAATAGTAAATAATTTTTATCAATACCTGGCTCCAAGACACACCAGCATCTGAAACTTGCCATCCTTCCCAATGTTTCTAGGGGTGTTGTTGATAGCAGTGATAAAGCGACAGAAATTCCTGGCCCTTGTCTGCCAGTTCTCTTCTGGAACCATTTCATTCTGCTCAAGGGTCTCATAGTATGTTTGTGCTTTTTCTTAAAAGAATTATGGGAGATAATGAATTTTCACCAGTGCATACAACAGCCCTAAAATATCTGAAATATCATTCTCCTGTGCTTGGAATAAAATAAATAGGCACAACGACCTTCAAATTTAGATGATTAAATTTAATGTCACCTCTGTATAGTGCTTTCCCCACAAGCATGCTTACAAACCCATAAGGCTATCTCAGGTCCGTATTGGACCACTGGCAAATCAGCATGGTTGTCTGTGTCACGGAGGGGACAGCTGAAGTTGAAAGGCCTAGATTCAAAGCTCGTCCTTGAATTCCCTGAATGATTACATCTAGGCATTGTTTCTTTCACATTTGATTCGTGTGTTCCCCATGTTTAAAACTGGGATTCCACTTCCTTCCCTGTGAGCAGTGCTAAAGAGGTTCTATGGAATTTTGAGATGCTACAGTAAAATGATGATATAAGGAGATGTCGCTGTGATGTCTCCGACAAGTATGCTGTTCACACCAGCTGAAACACAGTGGCAATGATAAGGCACAAAGATGGATATATTTCAAAGACACACGCAGGCTCTGGTAAGTCTTCCTCCCACTTACCTAAAAAGTCCCAAATAAAGACGTTTTTGAAGAGTCTCGGTGATTTAAATCCATGCTGAAACACTTGCTCAAGAGCTGAAACAAGTCCACTCTCTCCACACAGCAACAGCGTCAGACTGCCTCTCTGCCAAGCACACACAGAAAGCACATACACTTATTACCTCAGTTTGGAAGGCTGGGGCACAAAAGTGTCTCATGCATTTGTTACTAGAACCAGTTTTTAAATAAATAGATGTCCAAAGTTACAGTCTACTGTCCAACAGTGGCTCCAGACAGGATGGCTCGGGTCTAAAGTCCTGAGCATTCAAAAATTTGTTGACCTCTCTAGGAACAAGGCTGAAGAAAGTAGTCTCAGGGCCTCATCGCCATCAAATGAAGCCACAAAAAGGCCGTAATAAAGATCATGAGCATGTTTTACCTATAATAATAATCACTGTACAGAAAACTAAGAAAATATTTTCGTCTTTTACTAAGTAATAAAGGTCACAGGTCCATTGTAGCAGGTGCCTCAGACTGTTTGCGTATCAAGAAAAATAACATTTAATGCAATTTTTAAACCTCAGAAAAAACCCAAATTCTTCTTTAGAACATGATGGTAAATTCTATTTTGAAAAACCAGTGCATGACCACTTGAAATTATTGTGTAAATGTGATCATAAACCAGAATTGTACTGTATAGGCATTTGCCATGCTGTACTGAACACGCAAAAGATAGGTGCAGAAGGAATGGGAGGACCTGTTCGTAAAAAATTAATGACTTTCAAGAGATATACATACAGCAGCCAGCAATGCTCTACACTCCTGCTCACAAGGGCTGGATTTTGATGCTTTGACAGAAGCAGTTTGTATCAGGAAATAACTACTGCAGCTGTTAAGATTATTACATGTACAACCTAGAAGTGTACCAGTCTGAGAGTACTTCTGCTTCGCTTGCAGGGGGGTGTTTGGTTGTGTTTAAAGCAGCCCACTGGTTTTCATGTTTTAAGTAGCAAAGATAATGCAAAACAGGCATAAAAACCCCCTACCCAGTACTCATTTTACATGTAGATGTAAAATATCAGTTAATCCAGAACAAACTAAACAGGAGGCAACACTCTTGACAGTGGTACAGATAGAATCCTCAGCAGATTTTGACTAATAACACAATTTCCAATAACAGAATATTAACATTTAAATTAACAGAACACTCCAATTCACAGCAAAAGTAAGGTACTTGAGGATGTACTATTTCAACAGCGTAGTCTCAGCATCACATTTTTGCTCCACTTAAGGAATTTTCAAACAGATAGCTGTTCATTCAGTTTAGTTATTTCTATTATATATTCTACAATGCTTACTAATAAGAGTTTTAAGACAGGAGTGCCACTACACACACAACACAACTCCTCACCTCCTTCTCTGGTTTGTGGAAATGCTTCACAATACCATTGACAGCTTCACCAATAGCTTCCTGTATCTGACCAGTATTTAACTCTGCAAAATAGAAAAATATATCCAGTAACCTGTACCAGCTTTAGAAATTGTAGCTGTGCACGAGGGATAAGGCATACTACAAAAAAAGAAGACGAGCATGAAGCAGTATAACCTATACTGTTAGTGAAAAGTTGCTGGTCTGTGGGTAATAGAAATACAATTCTACTTTTATTTACTGCGGAGGAGGTAGAAATGGAGATAGTTTGGTTTTATATCAAAGTTAACACTGCAATATTTAAACATAACAGCTGGAAAGGCTTTTTACATATTACATGTATTTTCAGAGCAGTATCCAAACCTAAGAAAAGAAGATGGGCTCTGATTAGGACCACCAAATCTGGGCATCCTTGAAATACTGCCTGTGATAGTTTCACTGTAAATCCAAGCATGGTTGGGAGCAAAGTAATCACATGATACTTCAGGAACAGGACAACTCCAGAACAGTGATAACAACAGAAAACTAAAGTCCAGGAATAGAAACCACTATCAGGCTTCCATAGCATTCATTCCACAGATGAAGGGCAAGAATACAGAAAACACCACTAGGGCAGCTAAGCACTGGACCATGAGTCCAGAGACATCTTCCTTACATCCTTAGAGACTTTCAAAACTTGAGGAGATAGAACAGATTGCTCAGGACCATAACTCAGAAGTGAGCTGGACTTTGAGCAGGGGTTTGGGTTAAGTGAGTTTCATGGGTCCTCTCCAAGCTGCAGTTCTAAAATACAAGAAAACCTACAGCTCTGTTTGCAAGCAGCTCTCCTCAGGCAATGATGCAGAACAGTACAGGACAAGACACCTTCTGCCACTCACTTGGCTTATTGTTTGGCGATATAGTGACAAATCTTCTGATCATACTTGGTGACTGCTGCAAAGGAGGAGTTCGGCACTGCCGCTCATCAGCCTCAGTGTGGGAAGTCAGCAACTCTCCCACCAAGATCCTCTCTAAACTGCCATCATCCATTCCTTTTCCAAGCCACCTTCCACAGGGAAACCTACAAACATAAAGGAGGTATTTGGATCAATTCCTTCAACCCAGACTTAATTCCATTCCAAAGACTTTCACCTGCAGTTGCATAAAACTCAAATTTCTGCTAGTATAGTTATTAGAAAGATATATAGTTATATAGTTATAGTTATTATTCATCTAGCAACAAACAAAACCAAAGTCTTGGTTTTGGCTTTTGCCAGCAGAGGGAGCAAACGTAAAACGGCTATTCAGTTCCAAGTTCGTGCTAAATGTTGCACTAGATGATCTGCAAAGCAGTGGCAGATTTTGTCTTGTGTGTTGTGTAGCACATTATGTCAGGGCTGCAGAGGAAAAAGAGGTAGAAGGGGAAAAACCCACTACACACTGTAGATGGGTGTTGAAATACACCTGTGCTTCAGTGAATATGTTACATAGCAGGCCAGCCACAAAAAAATAAAATACCAAAACATATATTTAAATGCCATAACACCAATTCATCTATTGAAATTGGGATATTAAATGAGACACTAGAAAGCGCGTTTGCTCACTTGCTCATTATCACTTTCTATGAACTAATGTTGATGTCCATTTAATCAGCTTAATCAGAAAACTGAACAGCATCCAAAAATAGAATCTTGCCTCTTCATTCAATTACATAGAAACTGGCATAGAGAACTGAGTGGACTTACATGCCAATTTGTCATCAACATGATCCTGACAGTTTCTCTGAATAAAGGACAGGGCATCAAACTATGCTGTACCTAACACAAACAAATTTAATTCTTACTGCAAATCCTGTTCCTTTACTTTCATTACGCAAATACAGGTTCCTGACACTCCTAAGCCCTTGCAGTCCAGCTTGTGTCCAAAGGTCTCTCTGTAACACCCCTGTAACACACTTAGCCTTAATATAAAATACCACCCCTATTTGGTGAGCAACAAACTCTAACTTGCTACTTCTTCCTTGGGCTCAAGGCAGGTTATTTTTAAAATGTGCAACAGTCAACTCATCTTCTCCATCAATGTTTTGAGGCTAGATGTGAGCATCTGCAAACTGAAAACTCTGTTTAATTTTGCAAGAATCACAACTTGTTTAATGCCAGAAGCCAAATGACCTTTCTATGCCTTCAGGTAGCAGCAATTGTAGACAGAGTCCCAGGAGATAAGACCTTCCTAATCAAACAAGACCTACTGTGCCAGCTCCCTACAGAAACTCTACTTACCCAACATGAAACGTCAGGATGATACTTACTTGTAAGTATGCCCTGTTATTTCATTTCTGACCATAACGTATTCCACCAGCCACTTGGCATACAGCCCTGAATTATCATGTCCTATTTGCACCGTGGTCAGTTTTCCCAGGTTCTGGCACTGCAAATTAAACAAAGAGTTTGTAAGACTGAAAGAGAGCAGCATGTTGGAGAAGTAAACTACGAGAGAACATGCTCAGACAGGGAATCAGAAACGTGGTTCTCTTTCTGACTGCATGTTTGATTCTGGGCTTTTTAGGCGTAGGTTGCTTTATTTGTTTTTCTTTGTTTGCTTTGTTTTGTTAAATCCTATTTTATCAGTAGAGAGAACATCAGGTAAACTAGATTTTTCAATTAAATTTTACCCAATGCATGCATACACACAAAAATAAGATCAAAATAACTTCTTTGTTTCCAATAGAAAAGGATATGACACCTCCCACCACTACAGAACAAAGCTGTAATAAAAAGACAGTCTTGTCCATCCTTGCACCAAGGATTTGTCAGTCATTTTGCTCTGCATGTTATTAAATATAGATCAAATTTGCTATGTACAGGCACAGGAAGTATTTGTGACTAATCACACACAACAGATATTAAATGTATGACAAGATGGTACAGCAAGGGGAGAACTTAAAACTGAACAATCAGAACATCCAAAGCATTTTTTCTATTAAGCAATACGAACCTCAAAAGTCATTTCTAATATATTCCTAGGAACCTGCAGGACTCCGGTTTCACCCAGTTCTCCCGAGATACAGATCCAAGGATTGGCTGTAAACATCGAGCCACCAAGTTTCTTGCTAGGAACAATCAATATATGGTATGGTATCACTGCAAACACAAGAAGAAATAACACTTCAAAAATGAAGAAGGATAATTATGTAACCTCTTTAATGAGGAGAGAAGGAGAAGATAAGACACAAAATAATACTGCAGTACCATGAAATGTTAAAACAACATCAGAGCTGCTATTTACTCATGCTAACACTTGCACACTAAGCACTGACTGATGATCAGGAAGTGTACACATAGTAGTCATTACAAAGCAGAGCTAACAGCAAAACACTGTCAAATGAAAAAAGAAATATGGATGGAATAACGCCTTCATACGGGTATAATAATTTTTCATTTACCAGCCTCAAAACATGTCACAAAGATGGTTACTTGTCCCCAGATTAGAGACAAGGAAGTAAAGACAGATTATTCATGTCTCCAGGACTACACTGTAGCTCAGCACGCAACTCAATGCTCACCTCCTGTCTGCTGTCCCTGTGCATGTACACATACTACACAGCGGACATCAATCCCCATTCAGTTGCTAACCAAAGCCTCTGTTTGCAGGGCTTGCTTGCTACTGTGGCTGAACAAATTCAGTGAAAATACATTATAATGCTGCAAGTTTCTCTGTACAATGTTGCTCTTAGTTATGCTAACTGTAAGATTTATTGATTTTAAAAAGAACAAAACTTGTTTTTCCCCTCTAACTGCCACCACACACATGCTCAAACACTTTCTGGTCCCCTGGTTTACCAGTGACTAATTCAACATAGCATCACCTGAGTTACAGCCCTTTCTCTGATTCAGGAGGCATGTGCTCCTGAGGAAATGCATGTGCTCTTCAATTGCCTAGCACCTCATGCACAGCCCTCTATTAACCAAACTTTTATAACAAAATCCAATTATCTGAATGGTCAGTGTGTGTCTTGGTGATCTGCCCTTCTTTTACAGTGCATAAATGGATTACAGCCAGGGCTTTTCCACTGAGCCGTTCAATACATTTCTCCCTCAATGTCTCCTCAGTTGTCAGTGCCCTCAAGAAAGCACTTGGAGGTTGGATTTTCTTAAAAGCTTAATGCTCATAGCATTTAAGAATGAATTAAAATGTTTCCCTTTTCATTTTCTGTGCTGATACTCTTAAAGTAAGTGACAATTTAACTGCATCCAGCAGACCAGATTTTAGTATTGTTCAGAACTTGCCCACAAGACCAAAAACTATTTTGCTTAGACGTATGCTTGCCTTGTCTTTCATACACACAAATGTGGATCATAACATACCATCAAGGGCAGCTCCTACCATGGGGCCAGATGGGTCCTTTCACACACCTTCACCCCCAATTTTATAAGCCTTGCGGAAGTCTTTCCTAATTCTGCCTTACTAGTGAGGTCCTACAGCAGCAGGTATAAAAATGCATGAGAACTCTGTAACACATTTAAGCATCAGCAACAACAGGTTAAAAGTTTCTCTAGAACATCTTTTTAAAAAAAAAAAAATAGAAAAGAAAAGAAAAAAAAAAGACAAGAGAAGTATTGCAATGTGTTGCAGAGTTCTGATGCTGCCCCTCAATGGGCATTTCATTGTTATCCCAAACTCAGAAAAAGGCATGCAGCAAAGTAGGCTCTGCATGAAAAGGCAAAAGTTGTTTTTTGTTCGTTTTTTTCCCTTTTTAATTCCTAACATTTGGTATGGTAATATTCTTACCTTAATAATGAACAATCCATACTGTTCTTGTTCAGTATGATGCAAACAAGCCCACCACAAAATTTTCTGTTGAGAACTCTCCCCCAGCTAAAAGGATTAAAGCTGCAGCTTTAAGTTAGAAACAAAGCCTTTAGTGACACAGAGACAGACACTGCTGCCCACCAGAGAGGATCTCAGAAATAGTGATACAGCATATGCACATGGATACCAGAAAGAAAGCAGAACAATCACATTAAGGCATGGTGCCCAGAGATGTTGAGAGTTTTGGATAAAAGCTCAACCAAATCAGAATTCCAGGGAAGCAAATACTTACAGATTGTTGTGAAAACATTGGTAAAGCAAAAGTAATCAACAGCATTGAATGACAGGAGATGATATAAGAATTGTTCTTTCTCATCATCACAGCGGAGGAATGCATAACGCTTGTAGAGTTTTCTGACAAAGCAAAACAAATAATCTGTCATAGTAACAAGATGCTTTCAGTGAAATGTTGTCTATTAGGCATATTTATAAGGTAAACTATGAAGAATACACAAGCAATTACAAATGACAAGTGATACTGGTAGAGCCAACAGTATTTAATGTGCCAAGATATGTCAATATTCCACAAGTCTGATGTCTCCCACGTGCATCACTCCAATACTTCACACTATTTTCCACTCCTCAAAAGCAAGGTTTGGGGTGGTTTAAGGGTCTTCTTCCACCCAAAAACACCCCAAAAAGATGGAAAAAAAGACTTTTGTACTTTCTCGGAAAAAATTCTCTGACTTCTTTTGGCCACGTAAAATGACAGAAATGAAGCAGAGTCCTCCTAAGTTACTTCTGAGCAGATGGTGCCATGGGAGAGTCCTCTAGCACATGACACAAGATGGTTAGAAGGCTGTTTTCAAGGGATGCTAGGGCAAACACTGGGGCTATCTCCTTGTATTAGGTCATAGGCGATAACCCAGGGCCTGCAACAACCCGCACATTAAGCTAGGGAATAGCTTCAGTGCTGACAGTACACACCTGATATAACCAAAATCTGAAGTCCCACTGTTCACTATTACTGGGTTGCAAACTCTGCTAGGACTGCAGCTCCACAGAGAACTACAACTTCTTTTAAGTGGAAATATCAAAAGATGCAGCTGAGGAGCCTTCTCTCACTAGTGGTGACACTAATGCCTATGCAGAGAAATGCACTGTAAATGGAAACAATCTTACACACTTACTGAAATTACTCAAACACATTAGAGAATCTAACACTGCAAGACATGCAACTGAGAAATCTCAAAAATAATTTACAACCTCAGCCTTTTAAAGTGCAAATTTTGATGGGAAAACACTTCCAAATTTACTCACCTGTATGTAACTATCACCACTATTTTTGTTAATTATGCACTCAATAAAAATTATCAGTGTTGGTGAATAATCATAAAGGAAGAGCATGCCAAGATGCATCAAAATCCAACTGACACCAGAGGAATATTCAAAAATTATAAAGATACATAAAGATGTCCTGAAACAATCAGTATTAAATATGGCCTGTACTGTGATTTGTGCAACTATTTAAAAAAAAAAAAATTATGTTTACAAAGATAATATAATGTACAAGTGCTCTGGACATCAGCGAGTAAGTAGGTCCTTGCACTGAGCATTTCTCCTTTTAGTTTAAGCCAGCAGTATTTGGAACTCTCTAGGTTCAGGTGTTCAGTTTTCACTCACATCCCCCCCCCACTTGATATACTTTTCTCATTTTCTTCCTATAGTACAATTACTCTTTAGACAGCGTTATGGGTCTCAATGGTTGGGTCCTTTCATAATTTTTTTTATTACTTCGTATACAAGGAACTGAAAATCACATATTTTGTAGTGTTTAGGGGAGGCAATAAAATAAAAAATGGATCATAATAGCAGATATTTTACTATTACAAAAGTAATTCACCTCATGTTCTTTAAGCAGGCTATAAATTTAAAAACTTTACTGTGTAGGAGAGGACAAAGATGAAACACTGTCAGTTTTATCTACAGATGCAGACAATCATGCTCAAAAAGATTTAGATGGAAGATTTCAAGAGATTATCAGATGTAATCTTGAGCTTATTGCCCCAAAATGAGACGCAAGAACTGATCATCACAGCCTTCCTAGTCATCTTCAAGGTACTGTATGTACACCACTACTCTCAAACCACACTAGAAGCTGATTCTATCTACATTATTTTACATGGCACTGAAGGGAGTTACAATGTCTCCGATTTGGAGACCCAAATGAGAAGCTAACGAACAGCCACTTTGAGTCACACTAACAAGAACCATAGAAGCACACGTGGATGTGCCTTTACACCCTTCATATCATGACAGAACTGCACACTAGGACCTAAGCTGCATTTCATCATGCATTGTGAAAGCACACAAACAATTAAAGGAAAAAAAAAATATCCCACAGGTACAGAAAGGGGGCCAAGATAAAAAGCTTGGCTCAGCAAAGTAGTGGCATTTGGACTTATGCCCCGTTTCATTTAATCCCTAGTATTTTTTTTTAAGATTTCACCTCAAAGTTGCAGACAGTCTACACTGACAGAACTGATTCTGTATCTGAAGAACCCCAGCACTGAATCATAATTCCCACACAGCTCACACACAGGTACAGAAACACACCTGGAAGGCTAGTTTGTTCTATTCCTTTTGCACACTGATAAGCAGATGGAAGAATAGGCACTTATGGATTTTTGAAGTCAAATAAGTAAACAGGTTTAATTTTTAAAAGCTTTGCCCCAGATAAACCATCTTACTTTGTGAGTTCATGATCTGACAGCAGCTGTTTTAGATGCCTAGAGAGCAACTTCTTTTCCATAGAGAGACGAACCCAGGCTCTGGCCTTGCCAACATCTGTTTTGATCTCACTGATGTTCTGGATATGCCTGAAAAAACAAACAAACAAACAAAAAATTAAGGACACTGCCCAGTCAAAGTGTGACAGTTCTTTTGAACCAAGCTAGGCTGAAGAAGGAATTTTGCCAAGAATGCAAAATATCAGGTGAACTACATGAAAAAGAGGCATGGCCACCTTAATATTCAGCAGTATCTAAATTCCTTGCATATCTATCTGAAAAAGAATGAGTCTGAAAAGGAAATATCTGCAATGCAGTGCCCTATTTACAAAATTCTAAACCAGGCCCGTTGCCTCACATGATTTAAGAATCATTCTGGACCTTATCACTGCAATATTTATGGCTGAGTGCTTTGGAAAATTAAATACTGTCTTTGCATGCTCAGTAGTAGCTTTTCTTGCATACAAGACACAAATGATGTATTCTGAAAGGACAAGCACGTCCCTTGAAAATCATCAATTAACTTCTCTCCACTGAAAAAAATTAGATGTTGGTAGTAAAAAAGGAGGAAAAAAAACCTTTCAAAATTAATTTAGAAGTTCTGCTTATTGTTTCTTGATGTGCTGAAAAGACATAGGCTACACCCACACCTCGGTGGAAATAAAATACAGAATACTTACAAAAAGATGAAAACCATGCAGGCTATTTCTATAAGCTAGGAGCTGTGACAATACAAAATCCGCTCAGTAACGCTTTTGTAAAGGTCAATGAAAAGGTTGCACTATATACTTTAAAACAGTTCAGTAGGTTCCTTCCCCACAGCCCGATCCTGATATATGAAACACAGACTTCTCTGTGTGGTACACATTCTACACAGAAACAAATATGCAAATCTCACAGGTTTTCTGTGTTGGTTTTAGTAGTTTAAACTCACCTCATATCCTGGATGAGAGAGATTCTAAGAGGTGACATGGCTGGACTGGTATCAGACTTTCTCCTTTCTGAATCAAGAAGTATTCCTAGATTCAGAAAAACAGAATTTCTTGTTAACAGAAATATATCTAAGGATTTTAAAATCAATATAAAAAAGAAGGTGAATTAACACCAACTTGCACTCTTGCATCATTGGTGACTCACTGCTTTGTGAAGATATTGTGGCATAATTTCACTTCAAATGACATGAAAATCTAGTACGCTACACAAACGGTTATGCAGATCAGCACACTGAGCATTAACACATTAATGAGCTTAGATTCAGACAAAATTGGTATGACATCAAATGGCTTTAGACATATACTAATCAAGTATTATTTTCTAAGGACTACTATATTTTCTTTCTATGTAGTAAAACTGACTGACACTGTTGACACCAGAAAACAGTGTTCAACATGTCTTACTCAGTACACCACACATCATATGCTTAACTAATCTATCACTTTGCACACTCCTGTAACACCACTAGTTTTAAAAATAGCACATTGGGGTTTTTTTCAAGCAATATTATTTACTCTTATCTTTTAAATCCACTCTAGAATCAAGTTGTATATTAAATACAGTCCCTGCCCTCAATCCCAAGCTAGAAAGCATAAAATTGATTGTGACTTGAGTCTGATATGCAAAAACACTATGGAGCAAAGGACATTCAGGAGACCTTAATACTTTCCAAATCTCCGTTTTTGATTGCTTACAAGACCTTGTACATGTTAGCAATGCTCAGCTCTGCCAACAGCATCTTGAAAAAGAGAAGAAAAAAAAAAAAGGCAACCACCACCTCCCTCAAACCCATTGTCCTCTCCAAAGTTATAACCTATGCCCCCATCTGACACAATAAAGTGTTTAAAAATTACATTAATAACCTTAGAAATATATTATCAGTGCATCTTATGTGTAGTATTACTTTTACTGCAATATTTGATATAACAAAAACTAAAATGTTTCTTCACTGTTTTTTGTATTTTTTTAAATGTCTTTTTCTTTTAAACAATAAGCCTACTGTTCAGTTGTTTTTCAAGAAATTTTTTTAGTGTAAAACATCAGGATGTACAGCAGAATCTTATATGCTTATACTTGTTTTCCACTCCCATCCATAATATAATATTCTTTGGTAGTCTTGCAGTGACTGTGCATCATATGGATGATGGTATATCGGAGCAATCCATTTTAAAGCCTATAATTGAAAAATCAGATATTTCTGGTATCTGACTACTGCAGGAGTCAGATAACAGACCCAAACAAGTGGGCTCAATTCCAACAAGTTTATTTTTCACAAAATATGTTGAGACAATACACTAGGTCCATATTAATTCTGTAGTGGATAGAATACTTGATTCAGTTTATATGGAGTGAAGGATATTTCCAAAGAAACAACCTCTGCATGGTACAAATCTGCAGGTAGCTCTTACTCCTATTTTTTTTTTATCATCTTCTTCCAGTGGAAGCCAATCTTACCCGAGGTACTGAAGCTGCCTGATGTAGTTTTCCTCTGTCTGTTTTCTAGGTAGTGTAACAGATGAGACCACAAAGCAGATACTCCTAAAAATTTAAAAAAAAAAAAAAAAAAAAAAAAAATTAAAGCAATCACTATCAGCTGAATAAAAAACCCAAACCAGCCAAAAAAACCCCACATTTAAATCATCACTGAAAGTATCAGTCATAACAAAAACTTGTTTTAAATATGTTTCTCCCTATAAAGTCAGCACTAAAAAAACAAAAATGAGACACAAGTTGGAGGTGCTTGGGAGCTGTGAAGAGGTTGAGAAAGAAAAGCAAGAGTCAAACTACTGAGATCTAATGATTCTGGTAATAGGAAAAAGTCAATTGAACTTAATTTCTCATAGTTCATTAACATGAAAAGAAAACATTTAAAGGCTTGTAAAATACTATGTGCAAGTAGAGTTCTAAGTCTGAGGCTGTAACCTGTAATATGTGTCTTTCCCTCCCTTCTTTGCCAGCAGTGAAATGACAAGCCTGAGTAAATCACCTCATACCTAGACCAAGTCTTGTTCCCTCAGGGTAATTCAGGGCTATAGGTGCGTGCTGTCAATTTTCAGATCAAAATTTTTCCAAAAGATTTCCCTCAATTTCATCAAGCAAAGGACATGGATAATCACAAACACAAGTAAGAAGAGAACCCAAAACACAAGCAGGACAATGAAAGCTTATCAGCAAGGATACTCCAACTCTACACATTATAAAATCAACTTACAAGTTAAAAATTTGGGATGCAGTATTTAGACCAAATGATGCTAAAAGGTGCACCTTGCTTTTTATGTTGCTTTCTTAAACCTCTGGTGGCTTAAAGTAAAATGTGAGGAAATATTTTCCTGACAAACTAAAAAGATTCTTGGATTCATCCTAAAATATTCTGTATGATAAATCAAAAGCTTGCAAAGCCACAGAAAGGCAGCAGTAATTGAACAGGGGCTCTCCAGCATATTAACTGGAATTCCTTAGAGAGAAAATTAATTAGTATTACTTATCATCTTCCTAAGTTATTATATTAACTTGAAATCTCAGTAAAGATTTAGCAATTCTGCATTTCAAAAAAGCAGTCATATTATAAAGCCATATTTTTATTTACAACTTTGTGCAGAAAGAAACCATGACTGTAAAGCAACAGTTGCCAATTCAGCACTATCGATATGATCTAAAATTATGTAAGTACCTTCCTGGAGGTGTACTAATTATGGTTCAACTTTGAAATATTTTTTTATTTAAACTACCTTTAAAAAAAAAAAAAAAAAATCTTTAAACACTTCAATTCTATAGCTCGCTAGAGTTGACATAAAGAACTAGCAACCATGAGGGATTATTCCAGAAGTTACATCCTTCCAGAAGATAAAGCCTAGAGTGCCTGTAACACCTGTATTGACAGAAATCTATTAAAAAAATATGCATTCAGTGGTAAAGATACAAAAAGTCCAGAGAAGCTCAATGCCTCATGTGTGTACCTGACAGATCCAATATGGAAAGCCAAAAATGCAAGTCTTATAAAAAGAAAGCACAAAAAATACCAACCAGAAAACAATTACATCCAAAATGGCATTTCTCTCAATAAACACACACATGCACACACAGCCTAGTGTTCAGCAACTAGCTGCCATGGCAAGGAGAACTGCAACAGATCACATAAAGCAGCAAACAAAGGATCCTGCAGCAAAGAAATGTCAACAATCATGATGAATGTAAGAACCCATGCAGTATATGTCTGTCCACTTCCTTTACCATCATGTTACTCTCCTTTAACTTTATCAACTAGCAATGATGATGCAAGCTGTATCTATAAGGGAAAGTAAGACAACCTAAGGAAAGCAGTGGAACAGAGAACAGGCAAGGGAATAACCAAGGCCTTCTGAAAGTTCAGATTACTTCAGTCATTAGACCCTACGTCCGACAACTCTCCTGCATTGGTCTGGGCAAAGGAAGGTGTGGATTCACTTTGCATGTGGAAGAATCAGTACATAGTTAATGTAGGACCATCAGGGTTCATCAGCAGGGAAGAGGTAAAAGCAGGGATTGGTGGAAGGAAAGTCATCCTCATTACTATGGTCAACTGAGAAAGAAGAGTCTTCTTTGGCTTATTATTGAAAAATAAAATAAAATCAATATATAAAACAAAAGGCTTTTGCATATTTAATAAAGGCCAGAGCACACAAAGAACTGGTGGTGCTTTTTTTTTTTTTTTAAACTATAGATCATAATGTGAGATGCGCTGCATTTCCTCCATCAGGCCTCTATTATATTCCACCACTCTATTTATTCCACCATTCAGCATCTGCAATCAATCCAAAGCATTAACCTTATGTAGGGTTGGCCGTCTGGTGGTCTGAGAGGCCCAAATCTGAGTTGAAGCAGAGTATACTGATGCTCTGTCTTCTAAGACGAAAGCAGTACAGCTTCTATCCTAAGTGATATACAAGAGGGAAGGGAGAGAATCACATGATAAATCTTCACATAGAGAACTGCTACATGGTTTGAAGGAGAGCAGATTTAAACACGGGCGCTTGGGTGCTGGAAACAGAGACATTGAATTACAATTGTCTGGATTATGCACAGTTATTTTGCACATTCTTTTAAAAAAAAGTTACAATCCTCACTGTCCCTGCTATTCCTTTGTACAAATGAGGAGGAAAGGATAAAGGCCTTTAAAAAAATCCATCTAGTCCCACAAATTACTCCAAACAGAAAAGCAGGACAAACAATTATTAATTTCTTATGAAAAACAACACCTCTAACTAATGATCTTGTAAACATCACTTAACTACGCCTACATCATTCAGGAAGAACCAAAATAGCAAGGGTTTTACTCTTAAAAACTAAATTATCCTCATGACAGCACCTTTAGCATATGCTGCCTTACAGCCAATGCAACGTCAATAATGAAAGTATTAAGAACACAGAAATGGTTTTATTTACCATCCTATTTAAAAAACCCACAAACCAAACCAAACAAATACCCCAGGTTAAATGGAAAGTAAGTCCTCCCAGAACTCATCTGTGGAACACATCTACATGTATGCTTGCCTGCATCCCAGAGCAAAAAGTGGAGACAGACAACGGGGTAGTAACTGACAGGAAAAAGGCTGGGGACACACACAAGTATTTTAACATTTCTAAATACACACAAGAGGTATCCTCTGAAAGCGGAGAGAAGAAGAGCATAACATGACTTTAGGAAAATGCATTCTGTAACATACGGGAATATTTGTTTCTCACCTGTTTGACTTGCAGACCATGGCTCCATATCCTTTCTAAGAGGTCACACAGACTGGCTATCAGGGTATTCTCTTCCACACCTGTGATATTCACTTCACCATGACCTAGCTCCACAGCTTCTCGACCCATTTTTTCAACCAACATTCTCTTGGTCTCGAAAAGAACAAGGCAAAAGAGAGTTAATTCTTTTCGCAGGAACTTCCAAGATCACTTACTCTTTTAAAATAACCAACAAGGAAGCACACAATAGCAAAGACGTGTCAGAATAACTGGGTGTAAACAGCATTTCTGAGGCTAGTGCAAGACTGCATTTCTTTTATCCCTGTTTTTCAAGCCATGGCAGCACCAGGGTTGATCACTTTACAGCCTCTTCCATCTTCCTAACAAGGAGCTTGCAAACGGGCACATAAGCCTCCACAGAGTAACTCCAAGAAAGGGAAGAGGAGGCCACATTGACCAGCTAGGGGCCCAGCAGTGAGGCCCTGCAAGGCAGGCTTGGGTGTTTCTGAAGCCTGGCAAGTGCTGGACTGGGAACAATACGCCATGTCCACCTCCTCCCAGGGGAGGTGAACGCGCACAAGTGCTTCCAGGTAGCAGGGGGATAGGTCATTCCTGTGAGACCTTGTTCTGTCAGAATTTGTATTTGTGGTTAAACCAAACCCATTCTGGAGTGCACCTCTTGAGTTTCCCCCCATGAGTCACATTCTCCTAAATCGTGCACAATTTCATACTGGTCAATGAAGCTCTCACCAACTCTCAAAGCACAGTGTCCCAGTCACAATATATTCATCATACAGCTACCTGGAAGAAAAAATTACTAGGGAATCACTTCTGCTCACCTCTTACACGTTTTCCCCTTTATTGCTATTCTAGAGGAGCTCTGAAATGAGTAATACTCCCTTGGGCACCTGTGCACAGTCTTAGTTGAGACAAAGAACACTAAGTTAGTATCTAGCTTCTCCTCCTCCTCACCTCCCCTAGTAATTTCTCTCTCCACTAACAGCAGGCTTACTACATTCCCTAGAGTTGCACTCCCACAGTGAAAGAGTCAAGTCTATCTACGGATTTTCACTGTCATATGCCTCTATTAAGTGAAAGAGATTATTTGGACAGTTTCATACACACAGAAAACCAAAGTGAAATCAGATGTAGATGCATGTATTAAAGTTCTACAAAACGTTGTACACAATTGCTGTATTACCTCCACTGACTTAAGGCAAGAATGTGTCTATTTGATAATAATTCTCTTTACTGTATTAGTATAAACATTCACATTTAATTCAGATTAATATATTGTCAAATATATACTGGTGAATCATGTCTACAAACTAATGCAAAATTTCTTCAATAAGTGCTTGAAAACTTACATTTCAGAAGTTTGTTAACCCACTTCCTTTAGTTACAAAAAAAGCTCATGCGTTTTCACCACAGCCTCCGCTTTTGGAACATTCACTCTTGTTGAAATAGTATAGTCTCATTAGTGATAACTAAAATAAGCTATAATAGACATGGGCAGCAGGATGATAAAGACCCATCAGAATATTCAATCTCTTTCCATCATTTTACATTCTCTAACATAAAACTGCTTGTTAAAGTTTCCACTCCTTGCTGAATTTCTAAGTACATTATCTCTTCATGAATTTCTCACTATCATGAAAAATCTTTATATGGATAAATCAGAAACAGATGGCGAAAGAGGGGAGTTCCAACATATTGTCCAAGAAATGGCCCATAAAGCATAGATACGAGGTACAAGAGAACAGAAATATTCTCTGTATTACCTTATTTTGGCATTCCTTCAACAAGCCTTCTACAAACTTCCAATTTGTTTGTGCAATTACCGATGGAGAGAGGTTAGACAGTTTGGGCTGCCGAATGGTGCTACCCAGATTCCTGGCTTCTTGGATATACTTCTGTATTGAGGTAGAAAATTGACAAATACAGATAAAAGCACAAGTGAGACTACTTTGCCAAGAGAAAATGGTAAACTTATCTTTATAACCCATCCCTGTTGAATACGGAGGAAACGATCGGATCCCCTTTCAGAAAAGGATCCTTTTCATATAAAACATTATATTGGGCTGAGACACTTAAGGTACTATTCCACTGGAGGTCAAATCCCCATTTACATTGTCTAGCTAGTATTAGAACACACGTTACTGACTAACAAAAACACAATACAAACTGCCAAGGATATTTAGATGCATAGAGATTCAATTACTCCCTCCACCACTGAGAAGTGTCTTGTTATTTTTTCATATAAAATTAAAAAGTTTGTAATAATTATCCAGACCGAGACTATTCAAATGGCAGACTGGTCTGCATGGGGACTGCAAGAAAACTGAGATCTGTGCTATGTCCTGCATTCCTGAAGATCTTCTGTTTCTTACCCACCCTCTCAGTCTTTCAGGAAGCAGCTGCAAAATGCTCTCAGCTATAAGCCATCTGCATTTTTGAGCAAAATAATTTCCTGAATTCACTATACTCGAAAGTGCTTTTCTGCTCCTGTTGCTGCCATCAAGGAGTTTCCATTGTTTTCACCTCAGAGACAAAAATAATTTGGCAAATGTTTTGAAAGACAGGTGGTCATAGATTGTTTGGGGCATGGCTAACTGTGAATAGGTAATAAAGTCCTGTACAGGCAGTGACAGAATACTCACAATCAGTATATTTCAGATTAATAGGTAACTTCTCTAGTTTACGCTGAAATAATGGTCAAGTGAAAATTCAGTGAACAGATAGATTTATCAGACATGGTATGATCTTCACAATGAGGGAAAACCACATCTTTTTCATCAGCCTTGCACTAAAGAGCTATGATATATACATTCAATTATGCATCTTTATCCAGAACTATAATTACAGTTATATTGTGCATTGGACATACCAGATAATGCTCTGATACAGATTTTATAGAGGGCATGAAGGGCCAATCATGCTGGTACCAGTCTAAACATAACTGCAACTGAAGCTCTGACATGGAAAAGTCCAGGTGCTGGCAGGACAAGTTGGTAGCAAAAAGCCAAGCAGACCATGTAAAGTGAAAGTTGTAAGCACATATGAAGTAATAAAAGCAAGCATGCAAAACAGAAAAGGAAAAGAGTGAAGACATAATACAATGTAGAACTCCCAAGCATTCAACATAAAAATAAATTAATAAGTAATTAAGATGAAAGGAAAAAAGAAAAGATGGTGTTTAATCATCAGATTCGTGTAAACTCTGCCCTGTGCTGGGCACAAATACTTGCAAGTTAAAAGCCACTAAGTCTCAATTCCACAGATTTTTGCTGGCTACCCCAAAGCTTTAATTTGTCTAAAACTCACAACACTGCACTGTGAAACCACTTCCTCCTGCTCAGCCTGATCCCCAGTGTTCATCTCAGAAGGGTTCCCTCCCCATTCTTTCAGAATTAATAGGAAAGTCTCTGGTTCACCTGGGAGAGGGGGGTCAACATCCAGTCAGTAGTATGCAATCAACAAGGTATGGCATAAAACCCTAAAACATTAGCACAGATTAACCTGGCAGTTGCTACCCTCACTTGAGCATGTATTTGTAATTTTTATTCCTCAGAAATTATTTGCCTTGTGTGACAGAATAATTTCTACAGGATAATCAAAATGTGAAGAGTCAATTAAAAAACAAAACAAACAAAAAAACCCAGAGACTAGAGGTAGATTTTTGCCTTTGTAATTACCTAACTGAAGTCTCGGAAGTTTACATGTGCTAAACATTGTAATTGTTAAAAGCAATAATCAAGTTACAAATAAACTATTCTTCACTTCTGCTACTCTTAATTAAAAAGTACTTCAGAGTTCTCTGAGCACATGGAACATGTCAAAGCCAGAAACTACTCATTGCATTTTTATTATGCAGACATTCTTCTATTACATGGTTATGGATGACATGGATGACACTATACTTCAAAAAAATTGTAACAAACCAAGGAGAAAATTCTGGAAATGAGTACAGTGGAAAGGCAATTAAACTCATCACTATCATAAAAGAATGAACTGGACAGACAAAGATATTTGATTTTGACAATATTATCCTAACAGACACAAGACTACTTTAAAATTCCAAGTGAAGCTTTTCTTAAGATATTTGACAAGGCAAGAGAATATCATCTTCAATGAATACCATACATTTAAACAAAAGTAAAGCTCTGATGTTACTAAACAAAAAAATTAATTATGATATTTTAAACCAGATTATTCTTGGAATTACCCATAAATCAACACCCAGTGTAACAGTTTGCATTCACATATGAATCAGAAACTGTACTGTAATTAGTTCCATCGCCCCAGTTCTTTCAAAATCCCTTCAACCACAAAGAATAACTGTCAGTTGTAGAAACACTGGTGAGAGAAGTTATCAGTTCAGAAGGTGAGCAAATCAGCATCAGACTGTGTGGTGTTAGAACAGGCAGACACAAACCTGACAGCATGGGTGGGGTTCACATTCCCACCTTAGCATGAGTTTGTGTGTCAATTTGCCACCTTAAGACTTCTTTTACGGTCTACAGAAGAAAAACAGGCAACTCCAAAAGGTAATGCTTCTGATTTTAGGATGAAATTATTCACTCTCTGGAGTTGCTTATCTTTCCTCCATCAAATATACAAAAGAAGCATAGGGTGACTAAATTATAGAGACAGGAAATAGATGTCTAAAAACTGTTAAGATTAATTCCACCGTGTCCTGTCCCCCCTCCCCCCCCCTTTTTTTTAACTTTAAAGTGTGTGATGACATTTTCAGGGAACTCTCCTATATATGGGATGAAAAAAATTTAAGCTGAGAAAGAGTGAAAATAGCATACCTCTTAGAATATGTAAATACAAATAAGGGAGAGCAGAGGCGGACTGCAAGTAACTGTCTAGACATTTAATAAAGGTTACAGAGCATTATTCAGGCAATTAGGAAAAAAAAATTGTATCTCTATAGTTGAACAGTTTTCACCTCTCTCTGATCATTGTCAAGACGCAGGTGCTCTGTGTGTTGCTTCTGTCTGTCCTTCCGCCTCCACTGTGCAGGAGCATTTCTCTTTGTCCACCTACAGACAGAGGAATATTATTCAGCAGATGTCAAGAGTTAGGTGAAGAGGAGAGGCAATGGGGGAAATAAGAAGTTTCTATCTTATTGTATATTGAACATGTCAACAGCAATTACGTCAAAGTGCAGCTGCAAATACACACAAAGAATCTCTGTAGAAGAAGCCAACACTGGGCAACCAAAGGATTTCAGATAATTAGATAACATACACTTGCTTTGTATTTTTCCATTCTTTCATGATATCCAGTTACAATTTACACTTTTTTTCTCTTCCTTCAAAGTTTTTATAAGAAGCTATCCTAAAATACTTGCTACCTCTTAACTGAGATCCAATAAGGAGATCTGCTTTTATATCAACAGTAATTATGAGTAAATCCAAGTACATCAACTATAACCTCAAATATAATATGGCTTTCTTAAGTCAACTTGCTTCTGGGAAATTAAGACTTCAACAACAAAAATTAAAAAAAAAAAAAAAAAAAAAAAAGAAAAAAGAGACATAACAAAACAACCCACCACACACAACCCACCCACTCACTTTTTTGTTCTCACTTTAAAACAAAGGTACTGAATTTGCTTTCTACTGTCTCTGCTTTAGTACCATTCTATAGAGGTCGCTAAGATTCAGCACCCGTTGTCCTTAGCTTACTCACTTGTTGCTTGCTGGTCCGGTGGATAAAACATCAGACTGAAGCTTGGGAAAAAATCCAAGCTCATATTTCCCTTGTCCAATTTTCATGTCCAGCAAGTGTGGGTGGACTGCAGTGTGATCTATTTTTGCTAGCCTCAATTCAATAGATTTTTCTGAAATAATAAGAAATTTGTTTTTTTTAGAGGTGTCTTAATCAGACATGTATCCATAATCATACATCCTCAACTAAAAGCAGATCTCAAATTTAAGAGGAGATGAAGTTTCTTACTGACCGCAACAGGTACACTAGTACAAGATTTTATTAAATATCATAGAACTGACACCAAAAGGAGAAAAATGTTTATCTTCCTAACCTCAAAGATTTTTCACACAAAGCATGCAGGACAACAGTTGAGTTCAATTAAACTTTACATGAATTTCACCTCACATCTCAGCTTCCTATGTAACATTTAGTTCCCCACTTAAGCTTTACACTTCAGCTTTTTTGGTCTATTTTTTTGAGATTTCAAAGCATGAATCCTTACATAACTGTAACCTAATGTCTGCAAACAGCACTGACTAGTTGTATTTTCTTAAGTGTCAATAAGGTGGTCTTACCAGCTTCGTCAATGGTTGTGCACTTTTGATACATGGATGTGCGCAGAGTTGGTGTCCTAACATTTAGCAGCCTAATTTTATCCACTCTAGAATCAAATACTCTCAGAACAGGGTCTTTATCATCATCATCATGGCACATAATCTTATTGTCAATAAATGATGCAAACATTTGGGTCTCCAGGAACCTCGAGAGGAAAGGCAAGTATGGTTCAGGCTGGTCCGACAAGAAAGATGCCTAACAGACAAGAAGAGATAAGAGTGTTTGGGAGTCTGCAGAGAGAGATGCATCCACCAAAAGCACCAACTTTTCTCATCTAGGATGTATTAGAGTGCCTTGGTGCCACTTAAAGCCTGGTTTTATCACACATACCAATTCTATCTCTGAAACAGGCAGTCTATATCAAATCAGTTTTTCATTACAATCTCTTACGACATAGCACAATAATTATTAAACTGTGATGTTAGCATTTCCTTAATTTTCTAAAAATTTCAACAGAATCCCAGGAAACCACAACAGTAGTACTGCAGGTGTGGATATTATGTACTTCTGGCTGGGCTCAAATGCTCAAAGCTTATGAAGTTAATGAGAATCTTTTCATACGATTTGATGGGAATCAGATTAGCATTTTGGCAGGCAGTGCTGCAACATAATCTTCACCCACGTGAACTATCCTGCTGACAGATATCTGACCTCCAGTAAAGAAGACAGTAGTAAAAATTGAAGAAGTGGGTCTTGTGTTTCCCTAGAAAAGAGCTAGAAATGCATTTCATACACATGTATGTAAGTGTTGTGCGTGGTCATGGCTATATCCATTAATATATTCAGCAATTCCTCTGGTTAAAAAAATAAAAATGTCATTTTCACTAGTAATATTTAACTTTAATGTAGAGGTTAACCATAAAGTAAGGCTTTCTAAGCTATTTTTCTACAGCAAGCTGTATTTTTCTACAGTATCGTTTAAAGAGTATCTTTATCCCTCTAAGTGTGTTTATGTATACATTTTTCCACATAATATACAAGATGTGACTTTTTTGGGAACACTGAAGTTTAAGTAAGAAATTACAATTCTGATAGTACTATCTTCCATTTTATGGCCCAATAAACAAAGTCTTATGTTTGAATATTGTTTTACTTTTCACATTGACATATCTTCTTATTACAACTTACTTTATCAAAGTTTTGCATTTGTTCCCTGTTTGTAAACCAAGAGTCCTTGTCCTGACTGGGCTGAATGACAAATACTTCATAATCTGCAAACATTTGTGTAAAACGGTTGGCAAAAACTTCACGGATTTGAATGTTCAGCTGGTAAATCTTGAATTCTTCTTCATCACACTGAATTTTAAGATCCTTTTTGCTACTGGTCTCCTCTCGTACCTCCAACTGAGAAAGCAAGAGAACACACAAAAAAAATTTGTACTGTTGCTTTGTCCGGAATTCTAGGTATATAAGATCTTAAAGCTGCTACTCCTCAAGTCATCATTTCAATTTAAAAATTACTTACAGTTTCAAGCACTGTAATAAAACAGCAACATAAAAAAAAATAGAAATAAACCTTTGTCTATAAAACTTCTAATTTCAATAATAAACCACAACCTACTTTAGTACTGCTTGCACTAGATATGCATTAGATTAAAAAAGGACAGGTAACAACAATATAAATGCCCAGGTATGCCATATGCTTAATTTACTTTTATCCTTTAACTGCCTGCATAGATTTTTAGGGGTTTTTACTACCCCTGCGTATTAGGCAAATACATATTTCTGTCTGGTATAACAGAAGTCCAAATTTAGTACTCTTACAGTTCAATACATAACAGCTTCCAAATGAAGACAGAAACACACAGTAAAGAGAAGCTGTGCATGTCTAGTAGCCAATTTCCTTTTACCTAAGTCCTTAGCAGTGTAATGCACAATTCATCACTATAAAGTCCAGAGTAATCTTTAATGAAATAAAATGCATTTTCAGTTAACATGTGGGCTAAGATTTATAAAAACAGTAATTTGAGATTCAGACACTAAATATGTACTATTTCAAATACACATTTGCTACCCCTGCCTTTGTTAATTATTATGAGAGGCACTGCCACACATAATTAGACATATCTAGAGCTTACAACATCTGCACAATGATGTCTTTGCTGCAGCTGTCCCATGCTTCTTAAAGCACCTTGGTCATAGCAGTCCAAGGCCAGCTATAAATAGCATCTGCTAGAGAGAGTTCTGCTACTCAGTCCTTGCTTCTAACTGCATCCCATAAGCAGCACTTGGCATCTATATATTCTCCATTAATTGGGTATTTGGTATTAAGCAGTCCTCTAAATTATTTAAGTATTTCAGAAAAATTTGACAGTTATAACCTATACTCTCCTGTCATCACAAAAAAGGCCAGTAAAATGGGACTTGAACTACTGCAGAAGAGAGCACAGAATAGATAAGGCCTAAATGTGCAAAAACTTACAAGAAATAAAAAAAGACCTGTACTTCTCCCATCGCTTCCCAACCCATTCAGCAAAAGAACAAAAGCTTCTTACCAATTTTCCCCTGAACAAGAAGAAAACAATGCAAAAGAAAAACCTGAGAAGAGGAACACAGCTGACTCGAGCATCTTCTTCTTGCAACCCCCCTGCAGCTCCCTCCCCACAAAGTGGTTCTACTCCCCAACCTGTTGTAGCTCTCACAATTTCTATCTCTGTTTGGCCCCACCTTTAGACCAGGTTACAGCTACACAGGTAGGAATCAGACCCAGCAATGAAGAATTGGTCAAGATAATTTAAACATTTGCTGAGAAAAAAATCTTCATTCCATTCCACAAAGGCTCAAAAAACCCACGATGGTTTTTCAGGTAATACCTTTTCAGCAAAAAGGGAAACATTTTCCCAATTCTGACCCCCCCCCCCCCCAAAAAAAAAAATTCAACCAGGGTCACCACAAGCTGTGCACGTTCACTTGCATGGAATTAGACATTAATGCACTTTGTAACATCAAACAGAAAAAAAAGCATCACAGTATCTCTCTGGCAAGTCTATTATACACAAGCAAAATTATACACATTCTACACACAATGAGAAAGAAAGATACCTACAGAAATCAAGATTGGATCCTATCTGGATGTCAGTTTTATCCATGTAAATCATATGAAAGTGATGTAGATTTAGAATAAATCTTAAAACCAAGAACAAACAAGGCAAGGTGTAATTTTAAACACGTTATCTTGGCAAAGAATCACGTAGGGGACAGCCAAATGTTTTCCTAGATGTTGTGGGGTTAAATCTCACTCCCCCAAGGCTGTCCTTGTGTCTACAGATGTTCACAAGGTTTGTGAACATATTAACAGAAGTTCTCTCCAGTGAAGACAAAGTCTTTGGACCATTATTTCAGACCACCTTCTACTGCATGTCAAGAGAGAGTGCAGATGATTTCATAGCTTACCTTTTCCAGACTCACACCTGTTCTTTTAACAAGTGCTTGGAGTCTTGCAATAGTTTCATTTTCCTTTAGCAGCTCATAGGAATTCAAAGGTGATCCTGCTATGTTCCCATTTCTTTTATCAGAAACCAAATCACATGCTCTGAGGCTCTTCATCTTGGAGGCACTTTCACTGCAGTGAAGGTTTCCCTCAGGTGGAATTCCAAAAGCCATTAGTATCTCCGAAATTTCCTGGACGAACTCAAGTTTATTTGGGAACTGGGGTAAGTCTTCTGGCAGCTCGATGAAATGGTTGTCTACATCCACAAAGCACAGGTTAGCCTGGGATTTAATTTAGAACAGGATACCATTACAACATCATTAAGCACAAGGGTCACATTTGATTCATCTCGAGGTTTTGTGCCTATGGAAAGATTCAAATACATTTGCATTTGTTTGGTTATTTTGTAAAACAGACTTGCCCCAACCATAACTGAACTGGTTGGCTGGCTTTGGAGAAAGCAGTACAAGGCCTACACACTTCCAGGTCTTCCAAGGAAGTAACTAAGAAAGAAGACTCTGAAGTTGTCTGCTAGGTACAAAAGGAGATTGTAGCATATATTAAGTATAGACGAGTAAATTATTTCATACACATACAGCTAGATTTTAATTGCGGGATATTTGCAACACTTTTATATATGTAAGCAGGTGACTGCCTGTTGTTCTGATTATCAATCCACTCCTCTAAAAGATTTGGCGAATTCCATTCTAGAACATGTACTGATGTTGCAGAAGCTGCAATAAAAGTTTTCTTTTCTTTTTTTGCAAGCAACTTGAAAACCAAGGCAACTCCTTGAACAAGTTTAGAAGTTTGTTTCCATGGGGAAAAATGAATGGAACTAGTTTAAACTCTGTTTTCTTGTTCCAACCTCTCTCTTATTTACCATCAAAAAAGACCAAGAAAAAAAAAAAAAATTAAAACCTCACCTATGTGGCTTCCACGGCAACATCAAAAGCAGCTGCACATCTTTCAAAGATTTACCTCACCCTACATTTGGTCAAGGGGGGTTTCCCCTTTTGGCTTCTGCATTGCAAGATCTGTAACAAATGGTTTCCTAACATTACATAATTACATACTTCACAGCAAGAACCTCATTCAGGTGTGAACTCACCTTGGAAAGTTAAGTACACAGAGTAAATGTTGCTTTACTGTACAAGCATTTCTGGTTTCTGTCACTGCAGAATTAACATGGACTCCCACTTAGCCTTCCCTATAAAAAAATCACTTCACCCACATTATGGGGTACTTTCAACCTAGCTTCAGCACATTATTCTAAGAGGCACATCTGAACTCAGGCTTCACCATAGCTTTGCAGCAAAAATACATACCAAGTCATGAGAGCTAACAGATCTCCAGTTATTTCTTATGATTCGGTAAGTGCAAAAGGATGGAAGCACTCTTACAATTTAGTAGGAATGAAAGAATTGGAAGAGATTAACCTCACACTGAATGTGAGATGGGTGGATGATCCCAGAAATCAGAGTAATGTACACAAACACTGAAGCACCAGCAGGGACAAAGCAGTTCTCGGAGGATGTTACTGTGGGACTGACCATAGGCAGACTAAGATAAGGTGTGCCTGACAAGACCCCTTCATTTAAGTAAATCAGTACTTGTGACAGATTTAGCTCTCTTGGCATTTCTACAGAACAAAGTTAGAATGTCAATTCTCCTTAAAACACAAGTATCTGTTGTGTTTTATTTCTTGAACTTCAATATTAAAACCTAAGAAAACCCATTGTAAGTCTTAAAGCAAAATCCCACTGGACATGTTACACAAGATCTGCACAGAACTTTGCATGAGAAAGTCCAATTTATGCTCTCTTACAATATCACCCATAGTTATAAAGGTAAGTAGAGGAATTCCAGTTCTTAATTTCCTGATGTTTTAGCATTTTAATACCAGTATTTACTTTTAATGCTCAAAAGAATGCATATAAAGCAGTTTAGCAGTTCTTGTATAGATCCTTCACTGCAAATTAAATCACAAATTGAACTGGGTGGTGCAAAAGAATCCACAGTCAATAAATAGAACCAAGACATTGATTCTGAAACAGCTTCTGGTGCACCCTAAAGAAAAGTTTTTATTTTCTAAATAAGGCAGGTGTCACTGTTTAGATTTCCCCAGTACCAACACTGCTCGAACACAAGAGGTGTTGTACGAGCCCACCTAGCAAGGCAGCTCCAGTGGTGGGCTAGGGATGCAGGCAGAGTGCATCTGCTTCTTGTGCAAAGAAACATTCAGCACAAAGGGACAGTATGTACACAAGAGCTCTCCTGTTTCAAGTAAGCACCTAAATTTAGGAACTTCAAGACCCCACTATACACATGGTTCTGTGATGATTAGAAGTCAAGTCAGCTAATATTTATCAGGAACACTAAGCACTTCAAAACATGAGAGAAATAAAGCCTTGAAATTAGGCACAATGCCTACAAATCGGTGCTGAAGGAAGAACAAAAAACATTTAATTCATCACAAGCTGTCTGAGAAATGTCAAGACAGACTCATTAAAAAACTCTTCAAGCAGTTTAATTGCATTTCTTCCTTTTAAAACACTCTTTAATTGACGTAATTCAACCTTCCTTCTCTTTTGGATTACCTTACCTTAGGGTATTGGCTCAGTGAGGTCCAGACTACACCCATCAATTCTAAAACCAGAGGACAATTGCAATTCTTCAGTTTGACCTCAGGTACGATAAGGACCAAACTCCTACACATATCTAGCAACGCCTGCATCAAGCCCATATCCTTCCTTTCAGCTCCGTTCAAAAATACAGAAGGAAACGATCTAGGTTCTGCCAAAAGGATGTCTAAGGAGGAATTACTATTCACTAATAATGAGTAAACTCCCTACCCCACTGACATTCTAAAGAGAAAATATGCTTCATTTTGAACATTAATACTTAACTGCACTGTATACAAACAGACGCTTACATCAATACAGAACTGTCAGTTCTGATAGCACAATCACCACTACTTGAATTCTCTGTGCAGCGCGGGAGTTCAAACTGTAAGTTAAAGAGAGGTTTTCACATCCCCTCCTAGAGAGTCAGATTGAAACACGGTTCTGAGTTAAGGCTTCTGCTTGAATACAGCATTGAAAAACTAAAAAACACTCATCTACAGCATTTCTCCAGCAGGTAGCACCTTTGTGCCTTAGGTCCCAACCCTGCAAATACTTCACCTTGCATCCACTTCACTTAACACACAGAAAACATGGATTTGCATATTCGTAGACACATGGTTGGCTTGTAGAAAATATGTTTAGTGATCCTAAAGTCTAAAGGATGTTCCTTGTGTCATTCCTGTAAGCAAATGGTGACCTTCTGCATTTATTCTCAGCACTACTGTTCTTTATGTCAACCCAGAATTTGTGACTGAGAAAACTTACAGCTGCAGCTTTGAAAAACATGAATGTGGCTGTTTAACATAGAAGGACAGGAAAACATAAAACTGAAGTCTGTCAATAAATTTGCAGTATTATCAAGCATCTATCACACCAGGAGACAGCCTGAGAATGGACACAAAGCAGTGATTAACTTTCAAAATAATTATTTTGGTCAGTCTGGTCTAAACCTGTTGGCATCAAAAGGAAAAAAGGCTTTTCAAGAGATCTTTCTTATCTTCTGAAATAACATACAAAAATAAAAACCCACAGAATTTAAGATTTAGCACCAAATAACATCTTTTTAATGGCTGAAATAAAAATACTGAGAATATATACGTCTTATATTAGCAGAGAATCCGATTTTAGCTTTTAAAAATCTTTCATCTTCTCTAAAATATTTATTGTCCAGGACCCTTGGGATCACTCCATTAAAAACAAGCTTTTTTAATGAGATACTACTTTTATTCGATTTAACCAGTGCTGGAAGATCCAGTGTTGCTTATTTTCACTCAAAGTAATTTAAATTTCCACTGTTCTCCTGCATTACAGAGCAGAAAGATGCACATGCAAATCCAGTAGCATGAAATGGCTTGTTAAAAATATATTGCTGTAGCACTGCAAAAGTTTCTTTAAAAGGAAATTCAAAGACACATCAAAAAACCAATCTTACTTTAGTACTTGCTGGGTTTATGATCTGCAAGAAAGCTCATTTAACCACTTTTTTTGATCAATTTTACCGATAAACAAACCACAGTTTTGCCAGCAACATCTGGAACAGCTACATGTTCTTCCCTTCCCCTTTGATTTTTGCAACACCTTGTTCTAGCACCACTTCTCCCATGCCCCCCTTTCTCTTCTGGGTTCCTTACAAGCCTCTGATGCAGCTATCAGTGAAACCACAGACACTCATGCATACAGAGAGCTCTAAACAAAGCAGCAATACATACAAGAACAAGCTTAACTAAGTGCACTGTATCACTGACATGTACAAGAAACTCAACCCTACAGTAAGCCTTAAGTCTTTACAATTTTAGTGGGCCACAGAGAGTCAGGTCTTCAAGTCACTGGTGAACTTCAATGAATTCTCCATCAGGCACTGTTTTCTGATGTACCCAAGGGATAGTCTAAACCTGAACTCTGTACTAATGCAGTTATTTTGCTGAAGCTTTTAATCATCATCTGACAAAGCATCAACTCCTAGGACACATCTGGGTTTCCATGCTCCCATGGCAAAGCATTCCCTTACAGCACCAGATGTGACCGGAATATGGGCAACTGTCATCATGTTGTTGGTGGGGTTTTTTGTTGGTGTTTAGTTGGTGGTTTTTTTGTTTTGTTTTTGAAAGTAAACCCTCTACAATGAAAGTCCAACTCTAGTGAGCTCCTGTTCTTCTCAGTTTACTTTGCCTCTCGGATAAGCAAATCTATTGGTATAGGATAACTTCTTAGTCATCTCTGAAGCCTCCAGCACATGTTCAAGTTCACTTCTGTGCAATAGCTACATTCCCAGCCTGCAGCACCAAGGTCTTCAACAGTTCACAAGAAACCTTACTCAGCAGGGACTACCAAGGGGATTTCTCAAATTATGTCATACTCATCATGTACAAAGCTTTAAGAGCTCACTCCTCAAATAAGAGAGACAAAAGCTGAAGCTTTAAAAGCACAAGTTGAAGTCCTACAGCAAATTCCATCCCATGGGCACATGGCTGCTGATACCTCAGTCCTGTGTGTCCTCTTCTCCCTGAACTCCCAGACAATTCTGATCTCTGTAAGATACTTTCAAAAATCTACTCCTCCACCTTCACAAAAGGCCATCTGTTAAAATGTAAACTGAGGTGGCAGATTATTTTTTAATGCTATTTTGATTTCATTTTTAACATCTAAACATAGACCAACCACCTCACTTTAAACCTCCAAAGTAAGCTGATAAAGCTCTTTAAAATCATCTGTCTTCTAAATAATTGAAATATCTATTTGAAATTAAAATATGTTTATTTGGTTGGAAGTATTACAGTGATCTTAAAATGAGGAAATTCTTTGCAAAAGGAGGACAGCCTTTTAGAAGCCTGATATAATAGTGAAAACATCCATGGTGCATATTAAAAAGTATACTAACCATATTAATTAGGTCTGTCAGTACATCCAAAATTTTGTAAAACTGCAGTAAACCAAAGCAATAGACTGTTTTAATGGCAAGAATATATATTACTCTGTTACTAACTACACCAATGTGAAAAAAAGAGAGAGGAAAAAAGAAATCAAGAGAGTAAGTACTTTATTTTTCATAGAAAAAACAACACTGTTTAAAGATAAATTTTTCTTTGAACTTGCCAGGAAAAACAAATTAAAACTATGAGCATATGGATTTGAGAAAAAGAGCAATGTTGGCATGGTGACCAGACTGGAGGTTCACAAAAATATCTTGTCTTTAATTTCACGCAGTTTTTATAAAAAGTTCTTTTTGTATCAAGCTATGTTGCAGCACTGCCTGGTAATGAAAATAAAAAACACCACCAGAAAACCCTCTGCCTGCCACACTACTTTCCCAGTAACATAACTGATAACAGAAGAAAACACACAACCAGAGAAAATCCTACCAGTGCCAGTAAGTAAGGTGTTTCCCATGGTTTAGCCAGTCCCTCCTCTGCAAAGCTACACCTACAAGTAAGCAGACTCTAGCAGGGGCCAGAGCTGTGTTGTTCTGCAGCCAATAACTCTGCAAGCACGCGCTTCCCACCGGGTACCTGACAGAGGTGTCCAACTTCTTGACGACAGCCAGCCCAATCATACTTAACACTCAGCATTTTCTGTCTACATGAGCAAGTAAACTATTCAGTGGTGCTCAATGAGAGAAGTCATTCAGATGACTGATGGAACTGCCTCATAACCCAGCCAGATGCCAGCCAGCTGAGATGCATCCCACGGGTAGTTACTGGCTCCTGCAGACATCTCCTTTGCTACCTCAGGTAGTGTGAAACCACTCTTGGTCCCCTGATCCTCAAAACCAGTTCTTAAAACTCTCTCTTGGCACATCCCTACAAGGAATATTTGTGAAGTGAACAGCAGGATAAAGTAAACAAAAACAATCTCTAAGCAGTTTGATCATAGTCCCAGCCCCATGTATGAGCTGCAGCACCTTTACAGACCGTTTGCTTCTCCTTTACACAGTGGCTGGTGTTAACAGAGCCTCACTACAAGTGAGGACTTCCTGAGCACTAACCCAGTTAGTACCAGTTTGCTCAAGCAGATGCTGACACTTTGCTGCACACTGAAATTCACGTTCTAGAAGAAAATTTGAAATAGTTTCAGTGCAGACACCTGACAGGCTGGGTCCAGGTAAGCCAGTCCCAATTCAGAAATGCAGTGTGGGGAACCCAGCCTAATCCCACGCAGCCAGGAACCGGCCCAAGCACAGCACAGTGCTGAAGCTCATCAAGCTTTGCTCGCTTGGCACCACGCAGAAGCAGCTGTATGGCCTTCTGCCCACAGCTGGTGAATTCACACTGCACTTTCTGGTATCTCCTAGCACTACAGGGCTAAGTTTTGCGGCACAAAGGTGTTCTTTCTGTAACCCCTCTGCATTAATACCTGTAAAATTACAGTTTAATTTTATCAGAGCATACAATTTCCAAAACAGGGGTTTATTTACCTGTTTCACTAGATTTTCTCCATCATCTCCAAAAAATAAAGTAAGAGCTATCCCAAACCAGACCTTCACAATGGCTGTTACAATTAGCACCGGTGTTTTGGCTCATTTCTCACTTCCCTCATAGTTAAGTACAATAGTTAATGAATCAAGATGAGCTTCTCTCACCTCCTGAGGAAGTTCCAGCTTAGACCTGTCATCCAAACCATTAGAGTGCAAGCCCATGAGGTAAGGGACAGGAGCATCTAGAAAATGAAGGAGGGATGCTGGAAGAATAGGAACATACACATGCTGCCACTGAAATGGAAACATTAGTGCTGTGATGGTCTCTGCCACAGTCATCAGTCTCTGATAATCTGAAAAAGATCAAGAAAAAAATATTTATTTCACAAACATTTTTCAGTAAACTAATCTAAATTCAAGGAATGAGATCTTGCTTTAAAACAGAAACCACAAAACTCAGTACTAGCTGAGCAGCATTTTAATGAAAGCCCAGACTTGCAAACCCAAGCACATTTTGCTGAATTAACAAAGACATTTCAACGCAAAGTAGGTCATTCTACAAGTCATATGGAAATGAGCAAATTGAGTCTTAGCACCCATTAAGTCACCCTCTGCTACCTATAGCAGGGTTACCAGGAACACCAGTTTGAGTATGGAAGCAGTATTGTAACTGGCCAAGAAACACACAGGGAATAATTTATTTTCCCTGTGCTTATGATTTTCTATGGAAGCCTTGGATGAAACCCAAGGCATCTGGTATCTCTCAGATAAACATTTTTAAGAGTGTTTAAATGTCTATAAAGCATGCTGTATAGTAGCCAACCCAAGAGTGCGACTGAAATAACTGTGTAGAAAATAAAAAGGATCAGTTTCATTTATCCTTTACAATGTACGACTCAAGCCTCAGTTCAATGTAAAAACAACTCATCTCCTCCTAGAACTGAACAGCAGCGCTACATGTACCTCTGCAACATGCATACCAAACCATCTTTTCATTGAGCAGCTGGTGGTTAGAGCAGTTAACACTGCAGTAGGATGGGCCAAAACCTCACTCTCCTCTTTTGTACTACAGAATCATCTTTAATGGGTTTTGATATCTACGCACCATAAAGGAGCAGGCAACACTAAATGAACTCGGAGCATGTGGTCTAATACAACAGCTGAAACATTCAGAATGCTTTCAAGCTGCCAGGCTGGAAAGAGTATAAAACCAGCTCACAAGACTAAGACAATTCCTACCTTCAGTCAAGCTATAATGATACTGCAACAATATCCAGTTCCACCCAGGAAAGGGGGTGGGAATAGGAAGAAGGGGAAAAAAAATCAGTATCCTTCATCTGTATGTGTGGGGTATGTGTGTCTTCTCCTAACATGGTCATAAAACTACAGACACTATGACACTGGAAAAAACACTTGAATGCACAGGTTCAGGTGTTGAGGTTCGGAAGCTGCTGCACCCCGTTACAGAGTGCAAATGAAAATGGCAAAAAAAACTTTTGTTCAAAACAAACACTCTGGAGAACATTTAAGCTTAACCTTGCACTTTCTAAGGTTATGGCTTTAATTCTATCTTTTAGCCATCCTCCACTCAGACTTGAGAAAGCAAAAGACAGAGGGCTGAGAAATTCAGTTCCTGGCATTCATGATTAATTTTATTTGAAGTCAAAGGTGCAGAGTTTGGGGTCTACAAAGAGTCCCACAACCCAAGAGGAACTCAGTGCAAGTTTTGCTAACATCAGTCATAATTCTGCAATCTGGACTTTTCATTTTTCTTTTCAGATCAAGCTTTGCTGGTGGAAAAGGTTATTGCACAGAGCTACTTGTCACTGCCTCACAGTAGATCTACTGTGACTGAAGAAGCCTTCAATCAAAACAAGCCGGAATAGCTTAAACAGTTTAAAGGTTTTGCCAAAAGCTTACTTGAACTGAAACACATTAGGGAACAATCAGTGAACATCACCAGCAGCATTCCCCTATTCTGCCTGGACACCAGTTTCTGCCTACATAATTACTTATTGGTTTGCAGCTTTAATCACAGCCTAACTGCAGAGAAGTGATGAATTAATGATAAGCTTTGGGAAGAAGAAGAATCCATTTCATACCCTATTTTCTTCAGCTTTAAAAGGAACTTTAAATGTAGCCATAGATATACAAACATTCCAGCTGGTTCCTATTCAGCCTGTTTATTTGAAAGAGCAAGTCTCAGAATAGAAACAGTGTTTTCCTACTATATAACCTCCCCGCATAATCCTGCCGGTTAATTTAAATACAACTTCTCTCTCTGTCATTAAGCTAACTTTAGTATTAGCCTTTCAAATTAATTACAAAGTAACATCAATAATTCAGAATTTCTATCCACTCAGCAGCTACCTCCTGCAATGGAGTTATCTGCAGATGCAGCTCTCTGATCCTGGATATCCTCATGGCTTAAGCCATTCCCAGCTATTTGGCCTGTGCAGTCACAGCTTGCAAGTAACAACGATTACATTCTGCAGGCTTTATGCACGTCGGGAGCTGTTGGCAAAGGCAAGAAGCCTGCAAACATAAGCCAATGTTTTAAGTGATATCTATCCTAAGAGGGTATGGAGGGGTTTTTTGTTTTTAAAAAAGAAGAAAGCAGCACGCTTCTAGTACCAAAGCACTACATAAGATTTAAAAAGAATAATAACAAAAAAATTAAAAGAGGGAAGAAGCACTTCAGTAGTGGTCTTGCTCTTGTTTTTTGAAACAAGAATAGGCTTATTCTGGTGCAAATGACAGAGAGTCTTTCAACCTTGTATTGTACAAGAGCACTGGTAGGGAAAAAAAATAGATACCACTAGTGCACTATTAGTTTAGAAAGTACCAAACTGATCACTGTGCAAGGAAAAGAAAATCCACTTCTTTTTAACATGGCCACTTAAGAATATAGGAAAAGGCTGATTTGTTCTTCTAATCAACCACTGTAGGTAAAATACATTATCTCTTAAAGCATGTGTAAGAAGTTATTTACACTAGTATTTATCTATATTTAGTATATCTAGACATTTTTGTTGCTCTGTAAAAATTAAATCAATCCAGGAAAAAAAAAGAATTGAGAGGTCTTGGGTCTGGAAAGAGAGGTGGCATCTGTAAGAACCACAATTCCACCTCTCCATTCTCACATTTTCCAGAGAGAAGTCTATCAAGTGCCTACAGAAATTCTCTGACTTGGCCAAATTTGAAACCATTGCATTATCACATTCTTGGATATTTTTTCCTTCTAATCTTCCTACTTCATGGATCACAATGAAATATTGCTGTATTTGTCAATTAATTTCCATTCCACATGCAACTCCCATATTGCTGCTTTAAGGCAGAGAGTTGCCAATAAAGTGGAGGACCATTACTACAGATGACTTTGGAGATCTTCAGAAAGTATGTGGATAAACCAGAAGGATAGACTACTTGCCAGGATTAAGCTTTGCTTTAACCTAAAGAGGACCAGAAAGGGAAAAAATTATATACACAGTCCCTATGGCTAGGTAGCATGCGAAGCAGTTGAGTCACCAGAATAAAGCATTGCCTGGAGTGTTCCTTTCAGGCACTCTGGTTCATAGCAGAAAGCATGGTGTAAAAGAAACATTTTTTCAACAAATTACAAATTTTTCTCAGCACAGTTATCCAGTATGTCAGACTCCTTAGAGAAAACATACATTTCTTTAATTGGGCCTTTTACATCAAAAAACCTGTAACTGTAGTAAGAAAGAACTGTGATTAGGAGAAGCAATGGGTCAAAGTACTTCCTATTCCTGTTCACTTCTGTGTCCAACAGGCTGATTAAAGATGACTACACCAAGCAGCAAGCTTCCTAAATCACTGGAGGCATAAGAAGAAAATGTCCTACGTAAGAGATTAGAGTTGGGCAACATGGGACTAATACTGAAAAGAAATAAAACTAATACATTAAATCTCCAGAATGAACATAATTTTAAGCAAGTGAAAGAAAGATGGGGAGAAGTGATTCAAAAGCAAAGCAAAGCAGAAAAAACCCCACAACTTTATTTCTACTTAAAAATGGCAGCAGACAGCAAACACTCAGAAAAATAAAAACTGTTCAAGGTCAGTCTGTGGCAGTGGTGCATTGTATTTCTCCTTTTATTGTTTTTAGGTGTTTAGAAAAATCTCCTCCAAGCAGATTTCACAGCTGTCTTAACTCAGTGCATACTTTTCAGAAGAGTTGTAGGTGCTCTACAGAGATAAGGAGTAAGTCTATTTCA